GGGTGTGGCCAAGGGAGGAGCCTCAGCCTCAGATGGGGCGGGGCACAGGGGTGTGGCCACGGGAGGAGCCTCAGATGGGGCGGGACACAGGGGTGTGGCCAAGGGAGGAGCCACAGATTGGGCGGGGCACAGGGGTGTGGCCAGGGGAGGAGCCTCAGACGGGGCGGGGCCGACTCACGTACACCTGCGGGCCGACTCCTGCGCCAGCTGCAGCCGGTAGACCGAGAGGCGGTTGGCGCCACCGCACACGCTGCCCCGCTCGCCCTTGCACTCCATGTCGCACTCCGCCTCGCTCACGTTGGCCGCCTGGATCTTGTGGCCGCAGTAGCACTCGGCGCCGAACTCCAGCCCGGCATACAGGTAACCCCTAGGGGAGGCCGCTGTCAGGTGGGGGAGGCTGCCACAGGGAGACCCTGCGACTGCAGACCCCGCGACAACAGACCCCGCCAGCGCGGATACCTGGTGGACAAGGGCCTTCAGGACACAGAGGCATCCCAAGGCCATCAGGAGACCCCTGGGGATCCTGGAGAGGGAGACTCCAGGAGGCTCCTAAGAGGAGTCAGGGAGGCTGGGGAGTTCCAGAGCCAGGAAGAAAGAAAAGAGGCCCTGAGGTCAGAGAAACCCAGGAGGGGAACTGGAGCACCCCAGGGACCACCCACCTGCCCTCTCCGCCTCGCCCGCCGTCACCCCTGCATAGCCCCCACCACAGGGTACAATCACACATGGGCCCAGACCCTGGTGCCCTCCCCTGGTCCTCCCTGTCTGGGGACCGGAGACATTCAGTTCCCCAGAGCCCCGCCTCTTTATTCCAGGAAATGTCACTCAGGAATGATGTGGCTGTGTCTCTAGAGGAGCCGGGGCCAGGGGAGGAGCAGAGACTCTCCTTTCCTTTGCAAGATGGCAAAACTAGCTCCAGACCCAGCCAAGGGAGAAATTCCTTCCCCTAAAACAGAACAATCCAGGCATGCTTCGATTTTTAATTTTTTTTCATAAGCATGAAATCCTTTCCTAAAAAGGATGCTTAGGGGCTCCACAGTCTAGGAACAAATGAAGGTCCCTGCTGGCTCGGGTCCCAGGCCTGGGGGGCTGGGGAGGGGAGGAAGACAGGCCCTGCTCGGCCCCTTCATCCACGCTGGCCTCTGAGATATGGTGGCCTCCAGAGCAGCCTGCAAAGTACTGGGCACCCGAGGAGCCTGCAGGGACCGTGTGCACACATATGGCTGGTGTGGTCCTGGATGGAGAGTCATGCCCACCTAGGCTGGTGGCCCCCACATGCCCCAACAACTTGGGGTAGAATGTGGCATTGCCACAGCCATCTGCTCACCTGGGCAGGAGGGGCCAGAGCATCTTAGGTGAGCTGAGCATCTTGGGATCTGACGCCCAGCACAAGCCTGGGGCTGCGCCAGCCTCTCCTCTGCCTGCCTCAGCTCCCTGTCTCTCAGGGCCTGCTTCTCAGGTGTCCTGGGTCCTCTTTTTTATGATGGCACCCACTGATAGAAGCGGCCTTTTCCAAGACAGGGCCCAGCAGTGTTGCCAAATCCAAAGCAAGAGGGACCTCACCCCTCAGAGGCCCGAAGGATGGAGGCCCTGGTGGGTCAGGGAGACCCACCCAGGAGAGGGTCCAGCCGCTCTGGAAAGAGACGTGCCAGGGAGTGTCCTGGGTCAGGAGGGTGGAGGTTTGGAACTGTATCCACAAATTCTGAGCCACTCCTTTCTTTTAAAGATGGAGCTTAGTCCTCCTCCCCTGGAGCTGGGACTCCCTTGGTGACTCCCAATGAACAGAACGTGGCAGTGGAGACGGTGCTATGAATTGGATCCCAAGTGTCCTCCAGAGTGTTGAAGGTTTGGTCCCCAGGGTGGTGCTGCTCGGAGGTGGTAGAACCTTGCAGGGGTAGAGCCTAGCCAGAAGTCCTTAGGTCACTGGGAACATGCCCTGAAGAGAACCGTGAGGCCCAGCCCCTTCCTCTTCCTCTCCTTTCCTGTCTAAGAGGTGAGTGGCTTTGCTTCTTCATGTGCTCCACATGGTGTGTTGCTCCCCACAGGCCCAAAGCAACGAGGCCCATTAGTCATGGTCTGGAAACTCCAAAACTGGGAGCCCAAATAAACCTTTTCTCTTTATAAGCTAATTGTCTCAGGTATTTTGTCACAGTGACGGCAAGCTCACGAACCCAGATGGCAGTACCTTCCAAGGTGTTCTGGGTTTGGATATGGTTTGAGTGTCTTCCAAGGGTCCATGTGTCAAAGGCCTGGTTTTCCAAGGTGGTGCTATTGGGAGGTGGTGGAGGGTTAGGGTGTGGGGCCTGGTGAGAGGTCTTGGGTCATTGGGGGTGTGCCCATGGAAGGGATTAAGGTAGTTCTCATGGGTCCCTCAGTAGTTCTGTGAGTTTAAAAGGAGCAAGCCTGGACCTTCCCTCTCTCTCTGCTCCCTAGTTCAGGCTCTGATGTTTCTTCCGCATACTCTACTGGGAGTACCAAGGAAACTCCTATTCATCCTTCAAAACCCCACTCAGGGTCTTACCTTTGTAATCTGTCCCCAGTCCCCCATGTGGAGCCCCCCCACCCCTTCTGCCTTCAGATCTCCACTGTACAGCACCCATCATGCTCCGTGTGTCTACACCCCAGATTGTCCATCTGTAGAATGTGGTTCCTGGCACCCCTGCCTCACAGGAATCGTGTACCATTGAAGGGTTAGGAACTGTGAAGTGTGTTGGGACAGTGCTCGGCAGGAGCGAGTGCTTCCTGGGTGGACACGCTGCTGCTCTATAGCTAACCTGTTGGTGCCTTGGCTTCCCCAGTGAGATGGGGGTGCCCCGTGGGCAGGGCTGCAGTTGCCTGGACCCCGCCCCCCAGCCCGTGTGCACAGCCAGCAGATGGTCCCTGAGCTGAGCGGAATTCCCACAGCGGCCCCAGGGCTCCTTGGCTATCACCCCTGAGTGGCCTCTCTGGACCTCTGGGTGGCAGGACCTCTCTGCTATCTAGCTCCCGTGGTGACACGTTGCAACCCTAGCTCACAGGTTGCCCCGTGTACTCGTCTGTCCCCCGTCTAGGCTGGGAGCTCCCAGGGGCAGGGGCTCTGGGGAACCCACCCCCATCTCCCCATGGTTTGGCAAATAAATTAGCAAATCCACATCCTTGATCCCGTGGCCCTTCCCAAGCTGGACAGGGTCCCGGGCTCGTGACTTTAATGTTCCGCTTCTCAGGCAGCTCATTATAAAGGGGGCAGTGTGTCCTAATCAGGGACTGAAGGGAGAGTCCCTCCCTGGCCACCCACTAGCCCATTTCTGCATTAGCATGTGGCCAGCAGAGCTTGTGACCATCAGTCAGCTGGAGGAAGTATGGCAGGGAGTGGATTCCAGGTCACTTTGTGTGCCAACTAAGGCTAAGGCTCCCAGGAGACAGGGGAAAAGATCAAGCCCATGGCACCCCAAGGGTCCTGGCCCTGTTCACGGGTCCTACGTGGACCCATCTGCTCTTAAAAAGATAAGTTGGTACACGCCTGTCACCCCAGTGGCTCCGGAGGCTGAGGCAGGAGGATGGTGAGTTCCAAGCCAGCCTCAGCCATTTAGTGAGGCCCTAAGCAACTAGGGAAACCCTGTCTCTAAAAAAAAATACAAAATAGGGCTGGGGATATAGCTCAGTGGTCGAGGGCCCCTGAGTTCAACCCCTGGTAGCCCCCCAAGTCAACTCTCTCTCCCCCCCAATGCACATTCTTTTTTGTGGGAGGATTGAACCAGGGGCACTTTACCACAGAGCCACATCCACAGCCCTCTTGATTTTATTATTTTGAGACAGTATCTTGCTAAATTGTTGAGGCTGGCCTCCAACTTGCGATCCTCCTGCTACAGCCTCCCTAGTGGCTGGGATAACAGTCGTGGGCCACTGCTCCTGGCCCCCTCGGTGCCCACTCTAATCAAACTCATTCTATCCCCTTGTTCCTGGGTTGGGGATCCTGTCTGAAGAGCTGTTTCTCCCTGGGAGAGAGGCCAGGTACCCCCATTCCCAAGCCCTCGCCTCCCCCTTCTCACGAGCTCTGTGTGTACAGTGTGCACGCGCACATGCCCACCAGTTGCAAGTCCTCACACCTGTACGCCGTCACCTCAGTGCCGCGTGTGGGCAGTGCCATCGGCTACCTGGCCACGGTGCGCGGCTCCAGCCCGCAACCTCTACTAGAAGATCATCAGGCGCCGCCACTGCGCTCCCCAGTGTCGCCAGCCACCCCTACTCTGCACACCAGGCACTGGCTCCTGGGCTCACATCCGCACCCCGTGGCCAGCTCGGGACAGTCTGCTGGCACACGCATGCGCACACGCTCGCCTGCAAGCCGCCCCCATTCTGGCACAGCAGGAGCGAGAAGGGAGGGACCCCAACAGGTGGATCTGGGGACGCGGGGACCTACCGTTCGGCGCAGTTGTCCTGGCAACGGAAGACGGTCATCTTTTTGTAGTCGAAGAAGGACACGCCCCTCAGGGCGCGGCTCTGGGTGTCGTCCAGGTAGCAGCCGATGTACCTGGCTTCGGGGGAAAGGAGAGAAGTCAGATGTGGGGGACAGGAGGAGCCTCAGGCTGGCTGGCACGGTGGCCTGGCTGGGCGTTGGAGACTGATTCCTTCCTCCTGGGCCTCGGTGGAACCTGGTCCAGGAGGGGCTGTGGTCCTGGAGGCCAGCAGGGGACAGCAGGGAGCTACAGCCGAGCCCCTGGGTTCCCTGGTGACATCGGGGCACCCAGAAATCCAAGCCAAGGCCATCCCGAGCCACCCGGGATGAGGCCCATACTAAGCAGCTCTATGGGCTAAAGGATTTCTACGGGCCATGGGCGGGCATGAAACTAACAGCCCAGGGAGGTCTAGATGGAATGGTGTGGGAGATTGTCTCTCCCATGGTCCTGCACGTCAGGGGCGCAACGTTCAGGTGAATGGATTCAGTAAGGGGCCATTCACAGTGTTGTGTAAGGAACTTTACAGTTTGTCTATGGTGGGTCAAGGTGAATTCTCCCATCCAAAGGACAATTCCAAACTATATAAAATAACCATCTAGCTATAAACCATGCACTTAGTTTTCTTAAAGTAATAAATACTTTCCTGTACTTCATGGTAAACAGTGAACTCTCATGTACAAAGGGCAGGACTTTACAGTTTATATAAACGTTTTTCCTTTTTTTTTTTAATTTTTTTTTTTTTTTGAATCCAGGGGCTCTTAACCACTGAGCCACATCCCAAACTCTTTTTTATATTTTATTTAGAGACAGCATCCTGCTAAGTTGCTTAGAGTTTACTAGGTTGCTGAGGCTGGCCTAGAACTCACGATTCTCCTGCCTCAGCCTCTTGAGCTGCTGGGATTAGAGGCGGCACCACTGCACCTGACCCCATTATTTCTTTAAAATTACTGTTATTATTATTATTTGGATATGCACTTTGGTAAGTGATTCATGCATATTGTCTCCATTGGATCTTTATAATAATCCCATGAGAATATTATTCCCATTCTACACAGAACAGGAAACCAAAGCCCAGAGAGGGTAAGTCTTTGCCCAAGGTAACACAGCTTGCACATAGGAAGCCGGAATTGGACCCAAGCAGTCTGGCTTCAGAGCCCACGTTCTGAACTTCTTGCTTCTTGAATCAGGGGGGTCTTTTCAATGCCCCATGGGTAGCGGGAAGCACCGTGGTCCTCACGCTCAGTGGCCCAGAAAGGTGTCCTGCCTGGATCTGCAGCTGATTGTGGCTGAACAAAGCCTCCTCAGTCAGGTCCGGGACACCCACACCAGCTCTCCCCACCGCTGCGCTCAGACACACCCAGAGGTGGGACCGTGGATCCAGCCAGTGGGAAAGACCGAGGGACCCCTTGATCCCTTTCCCTGCCGAGAATGCTGTCCAGTCTACACCGTGCGCCCCCACCCCCCAGCCTTGTCATGAGGAGCAGGTCTATTGGAGGACGCCAGCCTGTCACAATGGCCTGTCAGGCCCCTTGCTGCTCCCCTGCCAAGAGCAGCATTTCCCAGCGCTGCAGGAGACGCGCCGCCATCCCCTGGGATTTCTTTCAGGAGACAGAGGCGATCTGCTGATCTGCTGGGCTGAGAACTGTCCACCTTTAGAGGAAGCAGGGACACCAGACAGTGGCCGCTCTGGAGGCCCCGACCCCTGCCTTTGTGCTGGCTCAGCCACCTGTGCCCCTCCCTCCTGGCTGGGACCGAAGCCCCTGGACTCCAGCAGGGATGCCACGCCCCCAGCTGGGCGGGGGCACTGGGTGGGCGTGTCCAGTGGTTCGCTAGAGGGTGAGTGTCCAGGGTGCACAGTGGGGTAGGCAGGAGGACAAAAAGCTGGGGGGGAGAGAGGAGAAAGCAGAGAGAGGGAGGGAGAGACATGGGAGAGGGGCTTCATCACCAGATGCGCATGCATCAGAGCGCGCCTCCCGCGGGGCCCACTTTATGGGCCATGCTGGGCCACGTGGACGGAGCCACACCCCGTCCTGTTCAATCTGCGCTCTCACGAATCCATTTCACAGATGAGCAAACTGACCGCCGTGCCTTTTCCGTCTGTTGGCCTCACAAGCGGATCTCAACTTTGGGCACCGGGCGTGCGCTCTGATGGGCAGCTACTGACATTCCCTCTGTCCCCCTCTTTTCTAAATGAACCAGGGAGGCCACGTAATCTGCCCAAGTTCCAGGCTCAAGGCTGGGCCTGGCGCCAGCTGCAACATGACTTTGGGGGCTGTCAGCTTAGTCTGCGGGCGGGTGCATCCGGACCTCCACAGTGGCATGGAGGGTGGATCAAGGTGGGCGCTCTGGGCCTGCAGAACGCCCCTCTCCCTGGTTTTCAGACCTTGACCTGGACAGGTCCTCTCAGAGTGCCCACCCTGCAGCCACAGTGTTGGTCCAGGGAAGGGCTCAGGAGGCGCTCGCTGGATTGCTACAGGGTGCTGGCCTTGTGCAAGTCCAGCACTACCAACAGCCAGTCCCCAGGCCAGCAGCAGCTGCGTAGGACAAGCAGCCAAGACAGGGGTGGGCAGAGAGCAGCAGCTCCTCCAACCGTGGTGAGTTGACAAAAATCGCGTCCAGGGAGCCCTTCTGCAGCCTGGTGACATGGCCCCGTGCATTTTCCTCTTTATTGAGGCTGGTTCTGGGGGACTTTTGTCCTTTGCCACTGGTGGGGCGTGACCAACACGCACTGTCACCCCACTGGCAGAGCTCACCTGGCAGTGATGGTCTCAGATCCCCGAGCCCAGCCCAGCCCCTTCCCAGGGACCGCAGTGACAGCAGCGCTACCTGCAGACTCCTCCGATGACTCTGGAGGGGTCGGGAGAGGCTGTGTTCCCTGGGAGAAAAACCAGGCTGTGTTCATGCAGCCACTGTCCCCACAGCCTGGACTTTGGAGTGCGGGGCCACCCTCACCTTTCCCTCCACTAGGCTGAAGTGACCCTCAGAACAGGGACTTGACTGACCTCCATCTCCTTATCTGTGGACAGGGGGAGGGACAGACCGACTCAGGGTCCTGTGTGCTGGGTACCAGGGCCTGATGAGTCGGCAGAGCCCGGGGGCTGGGTGTGGATACTGAGGCCATTTCCTACGGGTCCTGGGACAGATCTGGGGATGCCTTCCCCCCTGGTGTCTGGTGGAGGCTGCCACCCCCCTACCACTGCCCCTGTCCTGGGGTTTTATGGCCTCTGCCGACTCCTTTAGCTCTCTTCTGGGGCCCCCTCCCCAAATCCCAGGCCACTGGAGGGTGGATTCTATGGCCAAGTTTCCAGCTGTCAGCTCGTCTCCATGGTGACCGGCTGCTGGAGTGGCCAGGCTTCCAGAGACCAGCGTCAGGAACCCTCCCGTGAGGGGCATCTGATCCTTCTTTCTTAACTTTGTTCTGTGGCTCCAGCTCATCTTTAATAAAATAAGGCTTTGCTGTCTGTGAGCAGGGCCTTCTGTCCCCAGGAGACGAACACACACTGACCTGCACCCCCCCACCAGTCCCTGGTAAGTGGATTTGCGCCAGGCGGCGTCTCCCTGTCCTGCAGTCAGGCAGGTCTGGCTTCAATCCCAGGGACAGCGCTGCAGGAAGCTCTGAATGTCTCTCGGGCTCTTGGAAGTATGATTTTTCTCCCAGAAAAAGTGAAAATAAGAATTCTACTGTTATGGATTGAATTGGGTCCCCCTCACCCCCAAAGAAGATATGTCGGAGTCTTAATCCCCAGATTCTCAGAATGCTGCCTTGTTGGAAATAGGATCCCGGCACATGTAACTGAGTCCCGAGGCCAAACTGGAGGACAGTGAGCCCCAATCCAATAGGACTGAGGCCCTTACAAGAAGATGGCCATGTGGGGCCAGGTGACGTGTGTGGCACACGCCTGTGGATCTCAGTAACTCGGGAGGCTGAGGCAGAAGGATTGTGGGTTCAAAGCCAGCCTCAGCAACTTATCAAGGGCCTGAGCAACTCAGTGAGACCCTGTCTGTAAATACAAACCCTGTTTCAAAATAAAAATAAATAAATAAAAAGGGCTGGGGATGTGGCTCAGTGGTTCAGTAACTGATACCAAAACAAAAACAAAACAACAAAATCTGGGCACAGTGGTGCACAGCTATAATCCCAGAAGCTTGGGAGGCTGAAGCAGGAGGATCACAAGTTTGAGGCCAGCCTCAGCAATTGAACAAGGCCCTGAACAACTTAGTGAGACCTTGGTGAGACCCTGCCCCCCAAATAAATAAGTAAGTAGGGCTGGGAATACAGCTCGGTGGTAAAGCACCCCTCCTCTGCCTTACCCTGTGGCAGGGTCTCCATTGCCTACAGCTCAAGCCCTGCATCACTGCGTCCAGTAGAGACCAGCTGCTACTAAGAATGACAGCAACGATTCAGGGACCTGTGTTCATGAGCCAGAAGATGGGATAAGCACTTACACAAGTCACTAAGATATGAAGAGCAAATATAACTTAATGGCATGTAGTAGTTGCTCAAGAAAGGCTAATTAATAGTAGCAGCAGCAGCAGCAGCGTATAGCAATCCTTCAGTATCTGAAGGTGTGGACTCACAGATATGGAGGGACAGTCACAACTCCTCCTGTCTCACCTGTACCTGTGAGAGGGCTCCCCCCAGGCAGACCCCAGGAGCACCCCCTGAACATCTGTAACCACTCGGTGCCAGGCCTGGGGGTTCCAGGTGCTTCCTGGGTGGCATCTCACTGAACTCTCAGACCGCCTGGGGGGAAGGGATCTTTATCCCCATTTTACAGATTTCAAATCCGAGGCACAGGGAAGAGAAGCCGTTGGCCTGGGCCTTGGTGGGAGAAAGGGCTTTCTGTGAGCTGACTCTCAGTGGAACCCAGGGCTGGTTTTCCCTCCCCTTCGTTTATGCCCCTGACCATCCAGCCTGAGTTCTGGGAACCTCGTCTGTGTTAATCTCCTGGATGGCCAGGGTTGCTGGGTGTCTCCCCAGCATGCCCGTCAGGCGCCAGTGGACTTGGGGTGTGACACAGAGAGCCAAGCGTCCAGGCCAGGGAGATCTGATTTAAAACCCAGGGCTACTGCTTCCCAGAGCCAGCGACTCTGCTCCTTTGAGCCTCAGTTTTCACATCTGTTAACTGGGCACAGGATTGTAAGTGTCCTGTTCAACCCCATGGAATTCAGTGAAAATCAGAGTAAACCACTTTTGCCTGCGACAGCTGAGAAATGCAGCAAAACATGCCCAGGGCAGTGATGTCCTCTGAGGACAAATGCAAACTCTGACAAGCTGTGCAAACTTGCACAGGCTACTTAACCTCTCTGAGCTTCAGTTTTTTTCCCTCTGTGGAGTGGAGGCGAGAGTGAAATCTCCACCATGTCGCTACAAGCTTAGGACACCTGCTTCCTAAAGGGCGTGGCGCTAGAGTGCTGTCACCCTCCGGCTGTGTCCCTTGCCCCCTGCCCGCTCCGCGGGGCTCTTACCTCGCTCCTCCTCCTTCTCACGGAGGACTCTGCCCTTGAGGGCTCGGCTCCAGGCTCCCCCGTAGTCTCCCAGCTTGGCTCTCTCGTTGGCGTCCTTGCCCTTGAACGAGGGTCCGTACCTGCGCGCGATGCTGGACGCTTCGCCGTCGCGGAAGCCCCTGCCCAGGTGCAGGTCGCCCAGGAAGGGCAGCTCGTGGCCCTGGACGCCGCCCGCGGCGGGGCTGGCCTGGCCCTGGGAGGCGGCGGGCTGGCCCCCGAAGCCCGAGTGCAGGAAGACCAGGCTCCCGGCCGCCAGGTACAGGGCCAGGAGCGAGAGGAAGCGCAGGGGCTTCCTGCGGCAGGAGCGCTGCACCTTGACCCAGAGCTTGGCCATGGCGCGGGCATTCCGGACCCACTGGCTGCTGGGCGGCTGGGGAGGCGACAGGGGCCGTGGCTCTCCGGGCTTCCCCTAGGGACAGGACCCCGGGGGGTCCTCCGTCTTCCTCCCCCTGCAAAGGGGGTAGCCCCGGCCTGAGGCCCAGGGCAAGTCCAGCTCTTGGTTAGGCCAAGGGAGGGGCGGCCCAAGGTCAAGGTGGGCTTCTTGTGGCCAAGCAAGGGGACGCGCGGGAGGTGGTCCCATCTCCCTACATCTTGTTCTTCACCTCGCAACTCCCCCCAGTGGCTCTGAAAGTGGCAGTTCCGAGGTTCCGCTCCTCAGGCCTGTGGGAGCCGGGTGACTTCACCGAGGCCTTGGGTTCTGGCCTTATCTCCCAGCCAGGGGCCAGGCTCCTAGGGCCCACCCTCTGGGGTCAGAAACCGATGGGCCTCCATTTGTCAAGCATCGGGACACCGGGCAGCCACCTGCATAAGAGCACAGAACCCAGCGTGAGGAGCCCCTCTCCAAAGACAGGACCAAGGGGGTCTTGAGCATCCTTGATCAGGGACAGAGTTGGTTGCAGGACCCGGCCCCCACCCCACAGACACCCAAATCCACAGATGCTCCAACCTCTTCTAGAAGATGGTGCTGTATGGCAGAGAACCTGCACACAACCTCTCAAACACTTTAAATCATCGCCACCTTGCTCTGATACTTCACGCAATGTCAATGCTCTAGAGACAGTTTTTATACTGTATTTAGAGAAAAGGGTCAAGAAATAAGTCTGTGCCTGTGCAGAACAGCAAAATCACGTTTTCCAGTGTTTTCCTTCTGCATTCGGTCGGATCTCTGGTTGCAGAACCTGCAGATACAGAGACCAACTGTGCTCTGCCCCACGCTTCTTCTATCTTTGTCAAACATGAACATCCAGATGTGGGTGAGGTCCCCAAGGCATTTCCTAGTTCCTGCTGAACTACCCGCTGGGCCCAGCTGATTTTGAATCTGCTCAGATTCATTCATTTATTTTCCCCCTAACCAATATTTCAGGAGAGCCGTCCTATGTGCCCAGAACAGTCCGAGGCTGGGAGCCAGAGAGACCAAAGCTCACCAGCCTCACTTTCTAGGGACAGAAATGGAATCCACAGGTCCCTCTCCTCTACCTCAAGAAGAAAGGGACAGTGGCATTACTTGGCAACACATTAGTTCATTCAGCTTTTATTGAGTGTCTACTGTGTGCCCGGTTTTGTGCCAAGCCTTCTGCATGCATCTCCTCATCCTTCTCATCAGTCCTACGGGGGGCGAGGGTCTCCCTAGTTCACAGATGAGGAAACTGAGGTTGTACGGCTTGTGCGAGGCAGAGATGGGATTTGAAGCCAGATGTTCCAATGCCAAAGTCCAGCTCTTACTCATGGGCTTTTGGCCTCTGCCTTTCCCCCACATCATCTGGACATCACGTGAGAACTCAGAGATGGTTCCCAGAGCTGTGAGCCAGCTGTCCCTTCTACCAGTTACAGACAGGGGCTCGTCTTTTTTCAGGGTCTCTCAGACAATGGTCTGAGGAGCATTTGATTCTGAATCACTGGGGAGCCTGGTCCACAGGAAGGTTCCTGACCTCTCTGGTCAGCGCCTCGGGTTAGCAAGCTGCCCTCGGGTATGGAGTGAGGACAGAGTCCAGGACCGCTGCTGTAGGAGTCAATGTTCAGGATCGTCAGCCGGGAAGAGGAATGAGTGTGAATCAGAAAGCAGAAGAGGGCCTCGGGGAAATCACAGCACGGCCGCCCAACGCCCATCTCAGTCAGGGCCACTGGACGGGAGCTCTGAAGCCAGACGGCCCCTCCAGATCCAGACAGCAGCAGGGGAGTTTAACTGTGGCTTGGAGGCTGCCTGCCCGTCCACTATGGAACTGAGTACCGAGCACTTCCTATGCACCAACCACCTCCTAGGCATTTGGAATAGATCAGTGAACAACACAATAAAAAGGACAGGTCCTGTGCAGTCAGTCTGTCCGCCCAATCATCCATCCTTCTCTCTGTCTATTCAGGCATCCATCATCCATCTACCCTTCCATCCATCCATTCACCCATCCAACCATCCATCCATCCACCATCCATCACACCATCTACCCATCCATCCATCCACCTATCCATCCATCCATCCATCTACCCACCATCTATCACACCATCCATCCATCCATCCATCCACCCATCCATCCATCCACCCATCCATCCATCCATCTACCCTTCCACCCGTCCAACCATCCATCCACCCATCCATCCATCACACCATCCATCCATCCACCCATCCATCCATCTAACCACCCATCCAACCATCCACCCATCCATCCACCCACCCATCCATCCATCCATCTACCCTTCCACCCATCCAACCATCCATCCACCCATCCATCCATCTATCCATCCATC